GGGCATGGTCAAGAGGCATTAGTCTTCCTGATACTTTTCTTATTCATCTTTTTCTCAGTTCTGTCATCTCCACCCCTGACCTAACACACTGGGACTGGAGCTTACGACAGCGGCTGAACGGGCGACAAACTTCAGGGTGGGATTTGAAGCCATGTGGATGGCTGGGGTTGGGTAGTTCTCAACTTCTTAAACTGTGTGTCATGACTCCACATAATGTTGTCATGAAATATGCGGGGGGGTCATGAAAAATGTGGTGGTAATGATCAGTGACCCAAACTTCAGCTTAAACATGTGACGAATCAGGCATGTTTCTAGGAGACTCGTCTGTGTTCCATCACAAGGCTTCATTGCAACCTTGGTTCTGAACACACAACATGTGCACTGTGCATGCTGTCTGCCCACACAGCTCCTCATCAAGGTCAAGGTCAAGGTTATTGTAGGTTCTTGTCTTAGTTAGGGTTTCTATTGATGGGAGGAGACACCATGACAGCACGGTGGCCACTCAGAAATATAAGGGGCAATGCATATAGCACATCCTCAAAGGAATGCAGAAGTGTCTTGAAAGGGGTCTCTGCATTCATAGTCACAGGAGCATTCATTATCAGGAGCAGCCAGGAAGTAGAGGCAGCATAGCTTCCAGCGATGGACAAGAGGATAAACAGGCCGAGCGGTGGTGGCGCACACCTTTAATCTCAGCACTCAGGAGGCAGAGATGGGTGGATCTCTGTGTGTTCGAGACCAGCCTGGTGAGAGAGAGAGAGAGAGAGAGAGAGAGAGAGAGAGAGAGAATAAAGAGAACGTAGCTCATTCATGCAAGGGATGTTATATACAGGGATAAACCTCGAGGTGTCCTTGGGGCTGCTCTTCCTGGTGCCCCACTTTGTCAACGCCCTTTCTCTCTCTCCCTCTCCTTCCCCCCCCCCTCTCTCTCTCTCTCTCTTTCTCTGTGAGAGAGATGTTTCATGCTAGCTATAAAAGGGCTAGCCACAAAAAGGCAAACCCCGTGTGCATCCATCCACTGGCAAAAGTTATCTGGAGTGGTCAAGTACATAGAGAAAAAAGTACAGAGGTGGTTTCCAGGGAGCAGAATGCAGGGACTTGGTTAACGTGTGGACGAAAAGCTCTATAAGTAATGGGCTCTGCACAGTGCTTGCATAGCAACGAAAAATGCTAAACACTGTCCAGGTGTACCCTCAAGAATCTTCAATGCACTTTCCACTATGTACATTATACTACAGTCACAATTTTTTTAATAAAAAAGACAGAGATGGGAATCTAAATTTTCATGAGAACTCTCTAAGTTTGTAAGTGGCGGCAGTTGTCCCGAATCTATACTTAACTGTCCAGTAGTGAACTGCCCCTCTTTGGTAGAAAAAACAGAGGCCGAAATGTATCTGGATGACAATTCCCTACCATGTGACTCAAGGCAGTTCTGATTGGCTCAGTTCCATGATAAACCAATAAGCGATTTTTGTTTATTTTTGATACCAGGTCTCATTATACAGTCCTGGCTAGCCTTGAACTCACAGAGATCTGCCTATCTCTGCCTCCTGAGTGTTAAGATTAAAGGTGTGATACTACCATGCCCCATGGACCAATAAACTTTGAGGAAGTCTGCTGGAGGGTTTTAAGAATTTCTTAGCATGTGCTTGGGCCCTTTCTCATTATTGATTTCTCTCTGGACAAGAAGAATGGCGCTGGTTTACCACTCTTTGAAGCCCCAGGGGAGACCAGAAAGATAGTATGAGGCCTAGTTAATAACTAATCTTGGGGCCTTACATGTGTTTATAGTTTTAAAGATCATAAGTACACATAACAGGCTGAATCAAAGATGTCTGGGGTCCCGATCCAGAGGCAGGTGGCTTACTACCCTTGACACATCCCTGGTCACTTGCATTGCACATCATTTGCTAGGGGCAATCTCCCTGCATCACCCAGAACATCTAAGTACCCTTCATCTTCGTTTTCAGACTCTAGACTTTAGAGAAGGTCTAAGCCATGGAGTCTTCACTGAGAGCTTCAGGTCACTGTGCATTCCGTACAGGTTGCCTGGCAACTAATGAAGAAGCTCTTCTGGGTCTGCAGCCCTGGCTGCCTGTCTCTAAAGATGCTATCAGCGACTCTCCTGCTGAATTCACCTTCTGCTGTAACATTCTCTGTCCTGATAGGCACAGAACCACAGCACCAATTAGCACTAGCCTTTTCTCTCTGTTTACTTGTGCTACTTAAAGGGCTGTTTGTAAAGGGGATTCCTTGTAAACAGTGCATAGTTAAGTCCTGCTGTTGTTATGCAATAGAGCGGTGCTTGCCTTTATTTCTTGTTCACTGCATTCCTTCTTGCTAGGGTTTCAGCAGATACCCAGAAGTTCATGCCTGGGGAATTCAATCCCTACATTCATGTTGCTATTTGAAAAGAGGCTTTTGGGAGGCTCTTAGGATGAGGTCACGAGGCTGGGGCCCAATCCTTGTTTATTTTCTATTCCCGTGATAAAGAAAATGACCAAAAGCAACCTGGTGAGGAAAGTATTCATTTGGCTTACATATCCTGGGTCACTCTCTGTTGAGGAAAGCCAAGGTAGGAAAACTCCAGGCAGGAACTGAAGCAGACACCATGGAGGGGCGCTGCTTACCAGTTTGCTCCTCATGGCTTGCTCAAAATGTTTTCTTATACAGTCCTTGACCACCTGTCCCAGGTGGCACAGCCCACAGTGAACTAGACCTTCCCACATCAATTATTAATCAAGAAAATGCCCCCACAGACTTGCCCACAGGGCAATCACGTTGAGATACTTTCTTCATTCAGGTTCCTTCTTTCCAAATGACTCCAGCTTGTGTCAAGTTGACCACAATTAACCAGCACAAGCTACCTTAACAGCGTCAGTGGCTTTATAAAGGAAAGAGAGATCTGAGCTGGCACAGTTGCCTGTCTGACTGTACGATGTTCTGTCTCATCGTGACGCAGCAGGAAGGCTGGCACCCCACTCTTGGACTTCCCGGCCTCCAGAACTTTTGTTCTCTGTAAACCATCTTGTCTGTGGTTCTAGCAATAGGAATAGGAAACAGACCCAAACACTGGCTCTTGTCTCAGCTCCTAGTAATTGTTTACGTAGTGCAGCATTTAAAAATAAATTATATGCTTCACATGACGCCAAGGAGTTTGGAAATCTGCAGAGCCTGGCTTGGTGTGTGTGCTGGGAGAAGACAGAAATGGGGAACTATGTCTGTAGCTTAGCTAGAATGGAGGACGTGCCATTCAGTAAGTGCCTCTAGATGACGCCCTATCTAACAAAAGTAATGGTCAGAATTGGTGCCAGATTGGCTAATAGTTAGCAAGACTGATTTTTCTTGATCTCCAGATAAATACGAATGAGTCTCTTCCTGAAATTATGCAAAGAATAAGACAATTCCAGAGTATTTGACCTGGTAGGAACTTGAAACAATCAGTTCCATCTTTCTTTTTTCTTTTTTGTTTTTTTGAGACAAGATTTCTCTGTGTAGCTTTGGAACCTATCCTGGAACTCACTGTGGACCAGGCTGGCCTCCAACTCACAGAGATCTGCCTGCCTCTGCCTCCTGAGTGCTGGGATTAAAGGCGTGTGTCACCACCGCCTGGCGGTAGTTCCGTCTTTCTTAATACAGTGGAGAAAAAGGAAGGCAGGGAAGCAGGACAGTGTGCTCCAGACTACATCCCAGCTCACTGCACAGCTCCTGACCAGGCCCCTTCGTAGTTCCTAAAGGACTGCAGATCTCATGGGCTGCATGCTCACTCATGTGCTGTGTTGTAGTTGAGTCGCCTGTATTAGCTTGATGTGGTGGGGCATGCTTTTAATCCCAGCTCTTGGGAGGTAGAGACCGGTGGGTATTTGTTAGTTCAGGCCAGCCTGTCTACAGCAAATTCAGGCCCACATCCTGAGTTCCAGGTTTTAACTCTCTATTCTCTGTTTTGTGGATCTCCTCAGAATCAGAGTGGGGAACAGACGACAAAACTAAGACAATTAGGTGAGAACAAATGGAGTCCACAGAGTAGTACAAACGGTCCACACAGCTGGCACTCATAGGCGAGAGAACATGATGGAAGATAATGAGGTTCTGCCCCAGGGGTCTAATGGTTCAGGCACTAGTTTCCTAAACCAGGGGCTGTGGGTTAAAGTCTCACCTGGGCTAATGAGAGGCCACTACCTTTGGTTCCCAGGTAATGTTTTGGGGGCTGAGGAGATTGCTCATTGGTTAAGAACATTGCCTTTTCTTCCAGATGACCTGAGTTTGATTCCCAGCACCTACAGGATAGCTCACAACCAGCTGTATCTCTAGCTCCAGGGGATCTGATGCCCTCTTCTGGGCTTGAGGCACACAGGTGGTGCACAGATATACAGAAAGCAGAACACCAACACATGTGAAATAAAACAATGAAAAGTTTTTTTAAGTGTTTGAAGTTATTATTAAGATGAAAAAAATCTTTCCATTACATTTATCTATAGATACATCATAGGCCATAAGAAAATAAATAAAAATCTGTATCTTTAGGGAAAGAAGGAAGGAAGGAAAGAAGGAAGGAAGGAAGGAAGGAAGGAAGGAAGGAAGGAAGGAAGGAAGGAAGGAAAGATGTCAGTCCATCCCTGGGAAACAAAATAATCTTAGCACACAAGAGGTTAAGGTGGAAGTATTACAAATTCCATAGAAAGTGAGATCTTGTTTTTGTAAATCAAGCGCTGGGGAATATAGTCCCTGGCAAAGTGCATTTGCCTAAGTCCCTGGGTTCCAACCCAGCCCTGAAACAGAACAGGACAGGAACAAACTGAAGCTACCTCCTGGGTGACTGGCTGCAGAACATTATGGGTTCACACCATACACCCTCAGAAGACAGTACGAACTGATGGTGTCGATCCCAGGAGGTAAGGACTATTGTAAATGATCTGACATTTTGCCCTACCTGCATGCCACTGACCCTAGGACCATAATCACTAGCAGAGATAATTAACACTATCAGTGTTCCTCACCAGGCCTGTTTCCTGTGTGACACACATGCCCTCCAGGAGAGAAACCTTGAGACGTCATCTGGAATGAAATGACATTGTTTCTACAGCTCCCAGCTATCCAAGGTGTTTGGTAACATCCTTGAAAAGACTGTCAGGAAAGTCAGTTGGTCTCTGTTCTCAAGACTCTATACACAGGAGTCGCCTTTCATGCCAGCCCACCCCGCGAAAGATATTCCATAGCGGAAGGCTACTAAATTATCAGAAAGAAGCAGGAACCGGCAGTTAGAGAACATTCAGCTGTCATTCTTGGCAAGAATCCAGTGTGGATTAAAAAAAAAAAAAAAGTCCCTGCGTAACCCAGACTGGCCTTGGGCTCCTGATCCTCCTGCTTCAGGCTCTTAAGTGCTGAGATTGCAAGCATGTTCACCACGATTTTCTCATCCTGCCTTTAATGGAGCTCTGATGCCAGGAGCATGCTCCCATATTTATTCCTCTCAGGCGCCCTTTTCACGGAGACCACAGTTTTACGAACCGAACTCATTTATCTAACCACAAGCCAAGAATCGCAACTTGTCAGGTCTTAAGGCTACCTCGAGACTGTGTTAAGTCGGACCAAAGTCAGTGAACGACCTATGTGATGGTTTTGACAAACCATTCTCAGTGCTGCAAGACCCAGTCACTGCTTTGGAGCCGGGTTCGAGGACCTAAGGAGGTAAAACACGAACGTTCACTTCCACCTATCTTGGGAGTCTGAGACTTTGGGAATTAAGTAAGGATGGCGGCCCTCGGCTTCACTTTCTTTCCATTTCACAACATAGGTCTCGCACTGCGGTTGGGAACCAAGATCCTCACCCGTGTACCTACGTGGATTGCCCGGGAGGGAGCTGGGAGCGATGAGCCGTGACCAGGGACAAGAGACCAAGGACTACACCTCTTCCGGGAGACCCCGCACAAACCGGAAGTGGGCAGGTCAGCTCCCTTAACGCGCTTTCGCCATAGGTTGGAGTCGCGGTCGCTCTCCGCTTGTCGGGCTGGGACCACGCCCACAGGCTGGTCAAGAAGGAGCCGTCGGTGGTGACCACGGAGGCTGTTGCTCCTGCGATGGAGCCGGGCCCCTCTGTGTCCCCTGGACCTTCTCGCTCCTTCAAAGAGGAGCTGCTGTGCGCTGTATGCTACGACCCGTTCCGCGACGCGGTGACGCTGCGCTGCGGCCACAACTTTTGCCGCCGGTGTGTGAGCGGCTGCTGGGAGGTGCAGACGACGCCCTCGTGCCCAGTGTGCAAGGAACGAGCTGCTCCCGGGGAGCTGCGCACCAACCACACGCTCAACAACCTGGTGGAGACCCTGCTGCGGGAGGAAGCCGAGGGCGCGCGCTGGACAGGTCGCCGATCCCCGCGCCCCTGCCGCACGCACCGCGCGCCTCTTACTCTCTTCTGTCTGGAGGACAAGGAGCTGCTATGCTGCGCCTGCCAGGCTGATGCCCGGCACCAGGAGCATCGCGTGCAGCCCATCAAGGACACTGCACAGGACTTTCGGGTGAGCAACGCGCCACCCACTCTTGGGGACCCCGGGACTGCCTCCTCTCCCTCCCCCAGGCCCAGCCACCTTCGTGTCCGCCTTCCAGGCCCCTCTGAACAGTGCTGCAGTGCACTGCCCTCAGACTTTTGGGCTTGTCATGTTCACTTTAGAAGGAGGTCAGGCCCTAGCTCGGATTCTGAGGCCTTGAGATTTCCCCAGTTCAGCGCCCCCGCCCCCTGGCTTGTGGCGCTGGCCTGCTGCATTTCTCCGATTACTCTTTTAGCATCAAATTTCAGGAGTTCCAGTGGCTATAATTAAACCAAGAGCAGCTGACACAGCAAAACTAGCGTGGGAAAGGGTGGATGTCCGTACTGCAGGGTCCAAGCATGGGCTTCATACATTCCGGGCAAGTACTCTACCACGCAGCTGCATCCTCAGCCTAGTTCTGATTTTGAGCCAAGCTCTTAAATTAGACAGGCTGGCCTTGAACTTGCTCTCCGCTAGCCTCAGCCTTCTAAGTGGCTGAGATTACAGGCCTGTGACTCAAGGCCCAGAGAGAAATCTTTGTTATAAAACAGGAAAAAAAAAAAAGGTTTTTTTGAGTAAACAAGGTCAGACATTTTCAAAAACCTTTGGCCTAATCGCTTAGAAATGCTCCATTGCTTTCCAGAGCACTCATACTGGCTTATCAACTGACTTTTTAAAAGGGCCTTTAATCCCACACTTGGGAGGCAGAGGCAGGCGGATCTCTATGAGTTCGAGACCAGCCTGGTCTACAAGAGCTACAGAGAAACCCTGTCTCGAAAAAAAGGGGGGGGGGTCCTGAAATGTGCATTTTCCTCTGGCAGTGTCTTGTAACTTTTCTGTTTTTTAAAGCTACTGATGAACTCAAACAGCTAAATTTGTTTCATCCGCTACTAATAAATGGGTCAGACCCACAGTTGGGAGGGCTGAGTCTCGCTGCTAGGAAGCCCAGCATAGAGAAGAGGAAGCACGGCAAGAGCCCACAGCATCTGATCTCCAGACACCCTTCCCACACTCTGCTCGGTGGTCGTCCACTCTTCTTCCCACTTCCACCTGCAGAAATGCTAGATCCCTATTTGGTATAGCCAAAGTGGGCAGTCCGTAGGTTTGGGTCCTGATTTGAATTCCCCAAGGCTGGCAGATGTACAGATTAGCATGGGTGGTGTCCCCAGAATGCGGGCGGGGGACCAAGCCTCAACTGAAGACCAGTGAACCAGGGGGCAGGAAACATAGGTGTTGCCCACGACACCCGTCTGCGCTCTATGCGCCACCATACAGTTCGTGAACCCGGCAAGGGGCTGGAGATTCAAAGACACACAGACAGACAGAGGCAGAGACACAGATCATCCTTGATACCAAAATGCCCCAAGAATGCCCCCTTTATTGTGTCCAGGGGCAGCTTATATAGGGATAGCCACATCCCAGCCAAACGCACCAGAAACCATTCCCCTGCCGTCAGGAACTCCTGGGGCTCTTGTGCTTAGAGCAGCTGTAGGCACTCAGATCAGGAGAAAACAAGTTGTTTACAAGAAATTCAGGATCTGGGGGTTCACTGCTCCCAACACATAGACTTGGAGATAGCCTTTTGTTCTTGTTCCGGGGAGGTCTCAGACAGTGAGGAGATCAAAGTTCATAATTCCTACTCTCAGGGAGGTAATCACAAATATCTGAAGGATGTAGAGGCTATAACCAGGTGAAGGAGGCCAGGGGAGCTATTTGTAAGCAGATGCTACAGCATGTAGAAGGTTCTAGAAGAGAGAAAGCATTAGACACCTAGTGAAACCAGGAGACCCAAGTGCTACCCTTCATTTTAGAATGGTGGTGTGGTGCCCTCCAGTGGGTGCTCAGCACAATTTAAGAGCTGGGAGTAGCTTAGTCTGAAAGATCCAGGAGGGCACACCCTGCGTGCTCAGATGCTCTATGGCCCATTCATTTATTCGTTTGTGAAATAAACACACTGAGGACCCTTTGTCTGCTGCACTCTGACTGCTTAGGTCCGTAGGACAGCCTCTCTGTCATTGCGGCTTGACACAGCCTAGGGCCATCTGAGGGAATTTCAACTGAGGGATTTCCCCAAAGAGATCAGCCAATCAGCCAATCCGAGAGATTGTCTAGTTGGTGATTGGTGTGATACACTGTGATCCTGGTGGTATAAGAAAGCTAACTGAACAACACGAGCCTGGGAATGACTCATAAAGCAGCATGCCTCCCTGATTTCCACAGTTTCTGTACTAGTTCGTGCTTGATTTCCTGCCCTGACATCTTCTGGTGAGGAAGTGTGACACGGAAGTATAAGCCGGAATAAACATTACTATTGTTGGTCGTCATGGCAACAGAAAGCAAACTAGAACCCTCTGCTTCTGGAAGTTGACATTTCAGAGGAGCGGGCGAGGCAGTTGGTTGGTAGATGAGCATGGTTCTGTGTGGTTGGATGTGGGTGTGAGTTGAGGAAGCAAGCAGCATAGGACGGCCCACCCCAAGGTAAGAGTGGGGGGCTGATAGAGTAAAGCGCAGCCCTCCCAGGGCACCCGCTGGCATCCCCAGAGGAGTATTAGTGCTGATACCCAGCAGCACTAATCTTTGAGGACTGACTTACTCTGTGCTAGATCCTCTTAAGTATTAACACAGTTTGATGTCCACAGAAACCCTGGCGCTGTGTGATGGTTAATCTTGACTGTGGCAGTAAAGCCCAACTGCTTGAGTGTCTGAAGGTGTTCCGAGAGTGAGACCCTGACCCTGTCAGTGAGTGCTCTCACAGGTTCATCATTTGATGGCCTCATTGGTAGGTGGTAAGTTAGGAGGTGGGGCCTAGGTGGAGGAAGGCAGTTTGTTGGCGGGTGTCCTTGGGGCTATATCTTGTATCCCTTTCTCAGCTTCTTGGCCACATCTGCTCCACTCCCCCATCCCCACCACCTCCCCACCCCGTGATGGACTGAACCTGAACCGACACTTCTGAAACTGAGCAAAATGGAGAATTCTTCCCTCTGGTTGTTCTGTTAAGTTTGTGGCCCACAGCTCTGTAGACGTAATGAAGGCCATGTGTGTTGGTGTTTTATTACTGTGGCCAAGCAGATCCATTCTGAAGACACTGACGGGGATGCTAATGAGCTGGGACTTTGCCCTAACACAGTGGGACCTGATGGAAGGACTGACAAGATTTTAGAACATGTCATAGCCGTCCAACCAGAGCTCAAGAAAGAACCTGAGTGCTCAGAGAGACCTTAGAAAGTCCTCAAGTCCAGTGTCCTCAGGGTTAGACAGAGTACACTTTTCTTTTGTGCGTGGATGGGGAAGTGGGGTGTGGGGGGGGGGGGTCTGGAGCTCACTGATTCAGCTAGGTTGTTGGCCCTTGAATCCCATCTAGTTCTGGGATTACAGATGTGGGCCACAGCCCTGTAGATACAATAAAGGGCGTGTGTGTGTGTGTGTGTGTGTGTGTGTGTGTGTGTGTGTGTGTGTGTTTTATTACTGCTGCTGGGCAGATCCAGTCTCTAACTCCAGTTCCACTGACTGCCCTTGCATAGTATCTGGATTCTGATTCCCAGTACCTACATTAAGATTATGGTGGGCCAAGGCTTGGGACATTGAAGAGGAGCCAGATAGATGATGAGAGAGTTTGCTGTGAGAGCATCTCCTGGTTTTGTCAGGAGCGACACCCATAAAGTCTCACCAGCATGACCGCATAAACATGAGCCGAACAGGACATTTGTTCACACCAACAGACATTCCAAAAGGGTGGGGGAAAGACCACACAGCCTCAGCCCTACACAAAGAACTACAGGCAACTAAAGCTGAGAGGGGAAGAGCCTTCCCCAGGAAGAGCACACCAGTTGGCTACCCAGTATCAAATGCTCAGCTATGAAAACACATACAAGCAACATTACAGACTGAGCAGGTTGTATTTAGGAATATCTGTATATAAATATATTCATGTGATGAAAATTTTAAAAAGGCAATGAAATTAAAAGCAAATGAGGTTTAATTATAATCTCAAAAATAAAAGAGAAATGTTAGATTAATGGTGGGGAGTGATTGATTGAGTGGACACCGGCCTTGCATCCCCTCCAGCCTTCAAGAGCATGTGGTCACTCACACGCCACGTACTACATCTGTACCACCAAAAGAAAAATACTAAGACTTTTTTTTATTTTTTTAAAGATTTATTATATATAATATTTTGTCTCCATGTACACCTACATGCCAGAAGAAGGCACCAGATCTCATTATAGGTGGTTGTAAGCCACCAAGTGGTTGCTGGGAATTGAACTCTGGATCTCTTGGCCATCTCTCCAGCCCTAAATACTTTTTAAGTACAAAGAACTAGTTGGGTGTGATTGCTTGTGTGAGCCCATCGCTTGACTACATACATAGTGAGCCCACGTGTGCTCTGGTGTAAGCCCTTGTCTCAGAAAAGTGCATAAATTTGCTGCTAAATGTATTTCCTGTAGTCCCAGCACCATTAAAGGAGAAGGTGGATATGGAGGCATATTTAGGTGAGATCTCATAGGACTATTTTTGCCTCTTGAGAAATGACGGGGACCATTTATACTGTCTGTCCTGTTCAGAATAGCTGTCGGCAGGTCCAGTTTGGGGAATGCCAGAATGAGCCAGTCGCCAAGCCATCTTGACGGTATCCCAATAGCTCTGGGATTCTCGGAGCAGCCATAAGCTGTTGTTTCCTGTACGGTGACCAACTGGAACCCCTGAACCTTGCTTCCCACCTGTACCAGGTGTCATCTCCATTGCTGGGTTAGAGGATCGAGGAAACACGCATTTGCATTTCAGAGTTAGGGCTGTACCCAGCTTCCAGCTGTGCCTACAACATTTGGAGCAGACTGGCTTCCTCAGTTTATGGTTGAACTCCACAGTGTAATTCCAGCTGTGTTAGTTCCCCGGCCTGACTTCTAGTGCTAACTTGTCTCCCTGTCTCCCTGTGTTCCCCACAATAGGCCAAGTGTAAGAACATGGAGCATGTGCTTCGAGAGAAAGCCAAGGCCTTTTGGTCCCTGAGGCGTACCTTTGAGGCCATCGCCAAACACAATGAGGTAAGTGCTGGGGCAGGTGGGAAGTTTGGGAGAATTGAGAGGTGCAGGAAGATGAGTCCCTGGCTTTGGCTATGCCCTTTGATGCCACTGGGGCCCCTCTGACACTGATGAAGGGCATGGTCAGGCCAGCAGCCACAGGAGTGCATGCAGAAGACACCTTCATCATCTGCACCGTGCGTTAAAGATTAACATCTGTGGTGTCACGCATCACCAGCTCATGGTCAAACCATTGGTGATGTAGGGCTCATTAGAGAGCATACGATACCTTCCAGTTCTCCTTCCAGAATGATCTGTGGCTGTCAAACTCCCCACCCCACAGCTATAACTCACCTGGCCTTCCCACCTGCCTCAACTCCCCTGCAGTCAGTGTCCAGGCACCTGAGCGAGCAGTCTTAGGTAAACCATGTCAGCCATGGCATGCTTGTACTTACACCGCCCACTAGTGGCCCCTTCCCCTGATTCTAGTAGCTTCTAGACTTTCTTGTCCTATACCTGCCCATCTGGTGGCCATCTCTGTTCCTTTACTGGTCCCAGTTTCATCAGGTCTGCACTCTAAAGTCTCAATTTGCATATTCCTTCTGGGAACTGCTCCTTGAACACAGTTCCCAAGATCGCCATACCTCATTACTCTACTGCATGTCTCCCTGGACACTTAACCTGCAATTTACCTTTCTATTTTGCTTTTTATCTGCTCCCGTCAGAATGTAAGGAATGCAAGCACCTTCATTATTTCTAGTATCATAATGTTCTAGGCATAAGCTTTTGGCTGGTGTAAACGCCACAACAAGGCACAATGAGGCCTTGACCTTGGGTGCACAGGTACTGGAGGGTCCAGAGAGTCAGGAAGGCTACATCAGGTGTCAGACTAGAGCTAGAGAAACCATTAGAAACAGTTCGCAAGCTGGCGGGACAGGGACTACAGGAGCAGGCTGTGTAGTAGAACCAGCCCAACCCTGAGTGCTCAGGAAGTCCCTTCGCCCTACCAAGTGGGAGCAGTCAGTCTCGTGCAGTCTCTCTTTAAGCATTCAGAACGATGCGTGGGAGCAGCAATGGAGAGAAGCCTTCGTGATGGCTCACAGACCAACAAGCTGACTTGAGTCTTTGGAAATCAACTTGTCATCATGTGTATTAGGGTTCTCTAGAAAAATGGAACGTGCCCTCCATTTCTGGATTCCAGATAATTCCAGCTGTAGTCAAGTTGACAACCAAGCACAGCCATCCCAGGATGTCAGAGCCCTGAGTGACCTGAACTGCAAGTGTTTACGTATTGGTCTTTTGGAGGCAGGGTCATGCTATGTAGCCCTGGCTTGCCTTGAACTCACGGAGTGCCTCCCGAGTGCTGGAATTAAAGCTCTTTTTCAGTTAGTTATTGTTCCTAGGAAATGAGGGTGGATTGTGTTGATATGTATGCTGCACATAATTTTCCTAGCGTGCCATATCTTCAGTGAACTGGATTTCTGTTATTTTCATTTTTCAGCAAGTCATTTGTCATTATCGTCTCAGAGCCATAGTGTGTACTGAGCTTTGAGTCCCTGCATTAGAGGACAGCCTGCTGTAGCTAGAACATGTGGTTTGAATTAATTTTTCTGATAGTCACCCTGGCATTACATATATGAATTTCATCTAATTACTGATTTTACTGCATGTTCTAGCTCGGGGTTTTGTTGCCATAACAAACACCATGACCACAGCTTATGGAAGGAAAGGGTTTGTTTCAGTCTGTAGGTCCCAGTCTATCATTAAAGAACATCAGAGCAAGGACCTGAACAAGTCTGTCCCGTAGAACATTACCTCTGACCAAAGAACTTGCACCACATCCAAGAAGTACAGCAGGAACCATGGAGGATGCTGTTTGCTTGCTGGCTAACAGACCGGCTTAGAGCTAGCTTTCTTACAGACTGCAGGACTACCTGCTTAGGGAGTGTACTTTTCATAATAACCTGGGTCCTCCTATGTTATTAACAACCCAGAGTCCCCCACAGATGTGCCCACAAAGCCATCTGATCTAAGCAGTTCCTCAGATGAAATTTTTAGTCCCAGCACTGAGGAGGCAGAGGCAGGTGGATGTTGGTAAGTTCAAGGACAGCCTCCTGGCCTATGCAGTAAACCTCAAAACCAGGAAGTTATGCTCACACACGCCATCATATTCTTTCTGTGAGCCTTCGGAGTTTCATGTGCTAAGTGGTGATTTTCTTCTTGCACAGACAAGTATTTCTTTGCTTTTCCTCTGAGGATCTGCATAGTTTGTCCTCACTGCTTTTGTGGTTGTGGCTTGGAATGTGGGTGTCATTAAAATAAATACTTGCAGCCATGTGGTGGCGGCGCACACCTTTAATCCCAGCACTTGATAGGCAGAGGCAGGCAGATATCTATGAGTTCGAGGCCAGTCTGGTCTACAGAGTGAGTTCCAGGACAGCCAGGACTGCTACACAGAGAAACCCTGTCTTGAAAAACAAATATATATAACAACAACCATAATAAAATACTTGCCACAACTATACCAAACCATCTGGACCTATAGAGGTAGCCTGATCTTTATCTTTAGGGGTTCCTCATGTCACATCTAGAGCCTTTGAGTTGCTTTGCTGAAAGTAGTCACCACCTAGGGGCAGCCCAAACCTGACTCCTGACCTTGTGGGCTTCTTCCTGCTCTGGTGCAGGTACAGACGACTTGGCTGGAAGGCCGCATCCGGGATGAGTTTGACAAGCTCCGAGATTTCCTGAGGGTGGAGGAACAGGCCACTTTGGATGCCATGAAGGAAGAGAGCAGAAAGAAGCACCTGCTGGCCGAGGAGAAGATGAAACAGCTGGCGGAACAGACCGAGGCCCTGGCTCGTGAGATTGAGCGCCTGCAGATGGAGATGAAAGAGGATGACATGACCTTCCTCATGGTGAGATGCTCAGGATCTGATCTGAGGGTGGGAGGGATCAGGGGCCAGCAGCTCAAGACCCCCCGCCCACAGCAGGCTTCCTGTGGTGCTGCGAGGACCTCAGTGGCGTGGCTTCCGCCAGAGCGGTGACTTGGCAGCTTTGAATTGTCCTCCTGCCCCTGCCACCATTTCTTACTAACTTTACTCTTTCCCCATCCCAGATGAAATAGTCTTTTTAAATTGTGCAATAATTCAAACTTTAAAAAAATGTAATTACATTTTTATTTGTTGTAGATTGGTGTCTTAGGGTTTCTATAGCTGTGAAAAGACACCATGACCATGGCAACTCTTATAAAGGAGAACATTTAATTGGGGCTGACTTACAGTTCAGAGGTCTAGTCTATTGTCATCGTGACAGGAAGCATGGCAGCAGACATGGTGCTGGAGAAGTAGCTGAGAATTCTACATCTGGATCACCAAGCAGCAGCAAGGGAGGAAGTGAGCCACTGGGTCTGGCTTGAGCTACTGAAACCTCAAAGCCCAGTAAGGCCACACCCCCGATAGTGCCACTCCCAGTGAGTCTATGGGGAACATTCTCATTCAAACCGCCACAGTGGGCACACATTGCAAAGCGCCTGTGTGGGAGTCAGAGCAGCTAATGGTAGTCAGAGTCTTTTACTCTGGGTCCCAGACAGCAGCCATAACTGCTGAGCCGTTTAGTTGGCCCCGATTGTTTTATCTTAGGATTCTCTCTCTCATCTCCCCTTTCTCTCTCTGCTCCTTCCCCTACCTCCTTCCCTCCCTTTGCATTGGTGGCTCCAAAGCCCAGGCTCTGTGCAGGACAGGTGCTCTTAACTGAGGCACATGCTCAACCCTTTATCCTTTATCTTTTCTTTCTTTGTTTTTTGTTTTTTTTTTTTGTTGGGAGGCTGGAGTGGGGGGAGTTTCCCCCTGTCTTCTTTCTCTCTCGTTAAAGAAAGAGTAATTCCAGGCTGAGGAGATGGCTCAGTAAAGGGCTTACCTTCTGAGCATGAGGATCCAGGCTGATCCTGGAACCTGTCATTGGCTAGGCAGCCTAGACTGTTTGGTGAGGTCCAGGGCAGTAAGGACACTATGTCAGGAACAAGGCAGATAGCCCCTGGGGAGTGAGCTGAGGTTGACTCTAACTCCAGGAGCACATGTGCGTGAGTACCTGGACCTGCACACAGGCACAGAGCAGGAATTCTGTTCCTCCTTTTCTCTGGGTGGCGGTGGCACACACCTTAAATCCCAGCACTCGGAAGGCAGAGGCCGGCGGATCTTTGTGAGTTCAAGACCAACCTGATCTATAGAGCGAGTTCCAGGACAGGCTCTAAAGATACACAGAGAAACCCTGTCTCAATTTTTTTTTCATTTTCTTTCATCCGTTTATTGATTTTTGTCCTTTTTTGCAGAGACGTTTCTGTGGCCTTATAATGAATAAGCTACTTTATAATATATCAGTCCCAGTGGCAAGGTGGTCTCTGTGCCTCAGGCATAGTGAGGTCTCTCTGGAGAGTCTTGCAGTGGTGTGAGAAGGGGCAAGAGCATTTCCATGTTCATTCAGTGGCCTCACATTGAAGTCTTGAACAGGTTGTCCTGTACCCAGAATGCTCCTGGAAAAGAAAACATCACTTGATGGTTTCCAAAAGCTGTGTTCCTTACTTACCCTTTTCCTTCTGATGACCAAATAATTTCCCTTGTATGTTGTGTTTTACACTATTCATAATATAATGTAATTCATAAAATAATTTTGTTATCCATCCACCGATCCTCATTTAAGTTATTTCTTTTGCTTTTTGTGGGGAGTGGGACTCCAAACATGTATGTACTGTTTTTGTGTGGACATGTATTTACTTCTGGTTGTGTACCCAAGAGCAGATTTCTGGCTTATTTGATAATTCTGCTTTCCCCATGAAAGGGCTGCTAGGCAGTTTTCCAAAGCAGCCGTGTTGTTTTGTGTTCCTGTCAGCCGAGTACGAGAGCCAAGATTCTGTACCTCTTAGCCACTTTTTCCATTCCATAGCCCTTCTTATGAGTGGGGTGCTGTCTCACTGCTTCCGATGGGCATTCTCCAGGTAGCTGATGATAGTAGGCTTCTGTTCATTCATGTCAGGTGCCTCTGGATCATTATTGGTACCTCTTCTATGTCCATTTAATTTCTTTATACAGTTTTCTTCCCTTTTTTTTCTTTTTTTTTTCTCTTTTTTTCTTGTGGAGGTGGGTAGGGAGAGGTGCAGGTTTTTTTCTGAGTAGACCTGACTGTTCTGAAACTCATTCTGTAAGCCAGGCTGGCCTCAAACTTAAGAGGTCCACCTGCTTCTACCTCCTGAGTGCTCGGACTGCAGGTGTGTGCCGCCATGCCCGCTGTGCAGTTCCCGTCAGGTTGTCTTTTCATTGTTTAGCTGTGAGCTGTCCTTTTATGCTCCAGTCTAAGTCTTTTCTCAGTCTTAGCTCTGTATTTAAATCTTAGACTTATTTTAATTGGTTTTTTATCTGCTACAAGGCAGAGACCTGGCCTCCTCCTGTGCTGTGCTGCTATTCAGTTGTACCCTCACCATTGGCTAGAAGAGAGTCTGTCAGCTGACCTGGGTTTCCTGCAGAAGCTCTAAATGTGAAGCTTCCGTTATCTAGACTGTAGTCCTGTCCTCGTTAGACCGTGGTCCTGTCCTTGTTACACCGTGGTCCTGTCCTCGTTAGACTGTGGTCCTGTCCTCGTTAGACCGTGGTCCTGTCCTCGTTAGACCGTGGTCCAATCCTCGTTAGACTGTGGTTCTGTCCTCGTTAGACCGTGGTCCTGTCCTCGTTAGACCGTGGTCCTGTCCTTGTTAGACTGTGGTCCTGTCCTCGTTAGACCGTGGTCCTGTCCTTGTTAGTCTCACCACTTTCATCACAGTAGCTTCCGTAGCAAGTTTGAAATTGGGGAGTAGGAGTCCTCCACCTTAGTTGTTTCTCAAGGTTGCTATCCTACATTTCCTAAAACTCTTGGTGAATTTTAGAATCAGTTCTAAGTGTGACCTGGTTTCCTTCGGCTGTGTCTTCACCATGGTGCCTGGGACTTGGAAGGGGTGACACTGAATCTGAGATGAGATCCACATTGGGTGTGTGACATCTGAGTGACACCAGGTCTGCTCGCCATGAGTGGGGCGCCTGGCCACTCTTCTTCAGAAATTCCCTGCACTTTCTTACTCTGTCTCTGCCTTTTTCCCCCCAGAAACACAAGAGCCGAAAACGCCGGTAAGTTATCAAGCCTGATGGAGGGGAGGGAGTGGGCAGACAGAAAGTCGGGGCTACTCTGTCCAGTGGCTGACAGGCCAGGCAGCTGTCGTGCCCAGCTGGGTGGGATCCAGAGGGAGGGGTAGAGGCCAGCCAAGGGGAGCTCTCTAAAGGCATTCCAATGCTGGTTGCCATGAAGGCAGAGAGTTGTTTTGGAACATAGAGGTTCGCTAGTCTCCAGGGATTTACAGAACCAGGCACATGACTCGTGTTTCTCAGTTATCAGCAGGCCTGGTTTTTGGCTGGCTTCCTTCTTCCGAGAGCATTGCGTTGTTGTGGGTGGATGCTCGTTGGACTCTCCAGGATGGATAAGGAAGAGATATGTCCTGTCAGAGATGGGAGTGAGTACTCTAGGCTGTAATGAGTTCCCAGTCTCTGCAGGCGCTCAGCAAAGGCCAGTTAGCACTGTGGCTCTTTTGGATTCAAGTTCTGTTAAGGCCCTTCCAGCTTGGCCCTCTCATGAGCTGGTGACTCAAGTGTGATTTCTACCTATGAGGATGGCAGCTAGGTTGGAGACCCTCCCACTGTGTCTCCCAGTTGCTAAAGGGCTGTGGCAGCCCAGTGTTCTTCTTGCTCAACCCAGGTTTGTCTTGGGACAGATGGCCACAAAGCTTAGGTATGAGGCAAGGGAAGCAGTCCTGTTGTTTGTAGTAGACTCAGTCAGGCATGCCTGCCTGGCCCCAGCCAATGCCCAGCCTTCCTTTTCCAGACTCTTTTGCACTGTAGAGCCAGCTCCTCTCCAGCCTGGCTTGCTGATGGATGCGTGCAAGTATCTGGAGTCCCTGCAGTACCGTGTCTGGAAGAAGATGCTTGGGTCTGTTGAATCTGGTAAGGATGCAACGAGGTGCTCCAGGCCAATGGAGACCATCCCGTGCCACAGAGACAGCCAAGCTACTCAACTTTTCCCCCTGCAGCCACTTCCAGGCATGCCCAAGGCCCCTGGTCCTCCCTGCTCTGCTGCACTTCAGAGAGGCTAACACTCTTTTCTATATTCATAACTCTAATATTCAAGATGGAAGACCCAACTCTAGGTCACCTCCCCCAAGGTCACTCTGACTCTCTCCTGCCAGTGTGCCCTGGTTTCATGCCTAGAAATGGCAGTGGCCCAGGGGAATGTTACTTGAATCTCTTAGGTGTCCTGGGAGCATGTGAACCTTCGTACTTCCTAGTCATGTGCTGGGTTAGTCTTCCGTGGCTGCTATGACAGAGGACCACAAATTGGCATTGCTTGAGTGTCATTGGCTTGTGACTGACAAACGTGCTTCTGCCTTGGTTGGTCATATAACATTTCTTTCACTGTGTCTATATCTCTAACCCATTCCCAAATAAGATTACATCCTGAGATACTGGGACTTAACACTTATCTTTTGGGGTGGGGGTAAAGTGTGACTTCTGTCACCCGAGCAGCCCAGGACAGTTCCATACATGCGTTGGGGGCAGAAGAAGGGTGTCCAGTCTGCTGACTCTCCCTTTCTCTCTCTGTCTCCAGTGCCCTTCAGCTTGGATCCCAATACAGCTGCCGGCTGGCTCAAAGTGGCTGATGACCTCACGAGTGTCATCAACCATGGCTACCGCGTGCAGGTGGAGAATCCAGAGCGCTTCTCCTCGGCGCCCTGCTTGCTGGGCTCTCAAGTGTTCTCGAAGGGCTCCCACTCTTGGGAGGTGGATGTGGGTGGCCTACCGAGCTGGCGGGTGGGTGTGGTGAGGGTGCAGGCACACGTACAGACGCAGGCACAGGCTGATGGGGGCGGCGAGGGCCACTCACACAGCTGCTACCACGACACCCGTTCCGGCTTCTGGTACCTCTGCCGCACGCAGGGTGTGGACGGAGACCACTGCATGACTTCAGACACAGCCACAGCCCCTCTTGTCCAGGCCATGCCACGCCGGCTGCGTGTGGAACTGGAGTGTGAGGAGGGTGAGCTGTCCTTCTATGACTCTGAGCGCCACTGCCACCTGTACACCTTCCATGCCCACTTTGGGGAAGTGAGGCCCTACTTCTACCTGGGGTCCTCTCGGGGTGATGGGCCCCCAGAGCCTCTGCGCATCTGCCATCTGCGTGTCTCCATCAAGGAAGAGCTGGACATCTGAGCTGCCGGAGTCTGTGGACACTGGACTGGGGACCTCTTTTGTCCCAGTGTCCTCTGGTAGCCCACTAGTGACACTCATGCAACATCCTGTATCCTGTTGTCTTTTCTGTGACTCCCTGTCCCCCGGTGCCTCTGTCTTTGTTTTTGGTCCCTTTCCTGCCCCAAAGTTAAAAGTCATCCCGGAGATATGCTTGGTGAGCTAGGCACCACCTACAGAGTTGTGGCACCATTGGGATGTGGGTTTTCTGACTCTGTTTTCTTGTAGAATGGGCGTTTTAAATATGGGTGGCCGTTTTTAGAGATGATTAGGCCACCTGTCAGAGATGCTTTGAGTCAGTTTGTCACATTTCCCAGGAGGAAAGCCTTGTCAGGCCACACACACACACACACACACACACACACACCCTAGGATTGGTCGAGAGGAGTGGACAGAGCCTTCACCCAGACTTTCCTACCCCAGAAGGACAAGCTAGGCATTGGCCAGCCTAAGTGGACAGTGTGGCTTTTGGCAGTTGGTCTGAGGCCCAGGAGTTTCCGTTTGCCCAACACTGACTGCGATGGGTAGGGCAGGAGAGTCCTGGCCTGCTCTGTGGGACACTCTGGAGTACAGCTCAGTTAGTGGCCGTCACAGCATAGGCAGCTGTAAGCTCTTGGCAGTGGTTAAGGATTGACCAGTTTCTAGTCAGTGGCATGGAGGCCAAAGCACCAGAATGCAGTGAGAAGGCAGTCGGTACTGGCTGGGCCAGGATCCCAAGCTCTGCTCCTCAGTCTCAGGCGGAGCTTCCAGTTGACATGGAATTGACCCTGATTCATGCTTTGAAAGTTTCCCCTGAAATTGTCCAAGGTTTCTAAAATACATGAAAGCAAGGAAGGAAGGAAGGAAGGAAAGAAGAAAGGAAGAGAGAGAGAGAGAACTGTTTTTGCCCTCTCTCTGGGCCTCAGTTTCCATATCTGTGAATTAGCTGTAGTCTTGAAAATCATGGAGGAAGTTCTGAGAAGGGGCCTGGCGGAGGCGGGGGTACTGTGTCTGCAGCCTGACCCTGGAATCCAGAGAGTCCTGGCCCTATCTGCCCTTCTCGTCATTGACTTCAGTCCACTTGTTCTTGCTCTGCTCTCTGCCAAGTTTCACCCCAACTTCTCCTTTGTGTGCACCTCTCCATTTTCTTTCTCAGTCTTGACTATAGATGGCGTCTGATTGCCAGCCACCAAGTCCCAAGTGGTGTTGTAAAGACACATGTCTTCCCGGGTGTACTGTCACAGTCGGACATGTTACTGACCTAGGACCTGGCATCCCAGTTTCAGCCTGCACCCCGCGTTACATAAGTCTGATGTTCTAAACCATGCCGCTCACCCACTAATTGGCTATAAATAGGTCATATACATTGCTTATCTAACAAGTGGGGCCTCGGAAGAAACCCTGTAGTGCAGGCCAGGCTGGAAGCAGGAACAGCGCTGGCAAACCATTACCTTGTGGCAGATGCTTAGGCACTTTGGGATCCAAGTAGGTGTGAAAGGGTACGCCCTTGGTGCGGGGCATCTAGTTTATGTGTGAGAAGCTTTTTCTAAAATCACTGTTACAATGAGCTTTTTATTTTCACTTTAATTCTTTTTAAATAGGGAAATTTCAGTGACCTAGACTCTTTTAGAAATATTTAACTTGACCCACAATGGACATTGTTTTCTTTCAGTGCTTTTGTAAGCACAAATTCCTATTGTACCTCACTTGTACGTGACCTGATGCTCTTCATTGTAAGATTTCATGGTGTGCAGTGTGCAGTGAGTGTCCCGTTTAGTTTGTTACAGCTTTTTTTTTTTTTAGCTATTATGAGTATAGCTGTTATAAAATTTGTGTGCAAGTTTTGTGTGGACTTTTTATTTTGTTTTTTATTTTTTTAATTCTCTGTCATATACCTCAGAGTCTGTTTTCCAGGTCATATGATAATTGTATTAAGCCCTTTGAGGACTTGCCAAACTGTTTTCTAAGAGAGCCCAACCGTTTTCTACTCCCACTGGCAGCAGGTGAGGGCTGGGTTGTTACATATTCTTGCCAGCACTGTACCCTCTAACTTAGCTGTCCTAGTGAGGAAGAAGTGTGTCTCATTTGGCCTTTAGTTGCCATCCCTGACGGCTAAAATGGAGCATCTTTCTTGTGTTTGCTGTGTATCTACCTAAGAGACTTAAGCCTTTGCCCATTGGGTTGTCTGTCCTTTCATTATGAAGTTTTACGAGTTTGTTATGCATTCTAGATAAAAGTTCTCTGTTAAATAAATTAGTTATAAAACTTTCCTCCTATTCAGTGAGTTGTCTTTTTACTCTCTTTAAAATATTTTTTTAAGGGGCTGAAGAGATGACTCAGTGATTAGGAGCACTTACTGCTCTTTCAGAGGACCTGAATCCAATCCCCAGCAGCCATATTGAGTGGCTCACAACCACTTGTAATTTCAGCTTTAGTGGATCTGGCATCTGGTACCCACGTGCATGAAGAGCAGGGTGTGCTCTTAACTGCTGAGCCATCTCTCCAGCCCCCTTGTACTGTCTTAGTGACGTTCCTTGGAACTCAGATGTTTACAATTATGATGTCCAGCACATTGGCTTTCTTTTCCTTTCTCGCATCTTCTTAAGATCCTGGGCATTTCCCTGAAGCACGTACAACACAAGACCGGTGTTTTGGCTCAGGAATGGAGCAGTTGTACTGTTGACAGGCCCTTGTCCAAGAGTCTACCTTCTTTCCAGCTCTCCTACCTTCTTGTCCTCTTACAAACCTTCATTACTGCTAAAGGTAGTGAGAAGTTTCTGCACCCCGCTAAGCCTCTCTGCCGACGTGGCAATATAATCAAACCAAAGCAAACTGAGTTAGGAAAATTCCAGGTTTAAAGATAAAATGCTCCCGGATGATTTTCCAGCACCCCAGAGAGGAGACAGGAAAGGAAGACCTAAAAACCACACGTCTGGGGGGAGGGGCTGTTTAAATACCCTGTGGGAGTGGTCTTGAGTATCTCTGGGGAGGGATCATTTGGTGGGCTTTCTGAGATGTGAGAGTTTGGAGAGGGGTTGAGTAGGGGTCTTGGGATGGACTTCCGCACCTGTTCAGGCTCCCCTTCCGAACTCATCCTGTCTTGTTCCTAGAGGAGCCATCCTTCCATGTCCACTTGGTCACCCTAAGGGGCTGCATACTCAAACCTGGGTGGATTTCTCCGGTGCTGTGTTCAGAGGGCATATTACCTTTCTGACCAAGGTTCTCTGACTCCTACACACAAGATTCTACCTGGGTGAAACTTGGTATCCTTCAGACATGTCACCTGGTACATACAGGGACATTTCCATGACAGGGACCTTTTGAGACTGGGTCTTTTGGGGCATTTCCTGCCTGCCCATGTTCTCTCCTTATAGCAGTGGAGTGACCCAGCTCCTCAGTCCAGTGCCACCTGGAGGGTCTTTGGGACAGAGAATCCTGACAGTGGAGCTTCTGCACACCAAGGGACGGGAGAACCCCTTCCTAGGTCATGCTTGAGGGTTCACAGGCTGTTTTCACCTTGCCCCTCCTTGCTTCTGGAGGATGGACTGTCAACAGAATATGGTCTTTGGTTCAATAGAAGCCTCTGTAACTGGCTAGTGATGAGACGGGGCCAGGATTTGTTTATTTGAGACAAGAGTGCCACACAGGAGGTCTCATGTGTAGCCCTTGTCGGCCTGGAACATGCTGTGTGGATCAGGCTGACTTCACAGAGATGTACCTGCATTTGCCTCCCAAGTACTGGGATTAGTGTGCAATCACACCCAGCCCAAGATCTTTTTTTAAATATTTGTATTGTTCCTGTTTGTATGTATGTGCCTACAGGGGCCAGACGAGGGTGTCAGATCTCTTGAAGCTGGAGTTGCAGGTATTTGTGAACTGCCTGACATGGGTGCTGGATCCGAACTTCATTCTCATAGAGCAACAAGTGCTCTTAGTCATAGAGCTATCTACAGCCCCAAAGGAGTTTTCTAAACACTTTAGGAACATAACTACCTCTCCCAGAATGCTCCTATTCCTTTGCCTCCATTGCCTCCATGACCTAGAGCTCCCCTGCCCACCACTGTGACTTGCCTATCTTGCTAGTTTCCATGATGAGTGTAGGAGCCACATGACCACCTGTCCAGCCCTAAATCCAGAGATGTCATTGGACCACTAGATGGCTATTGTGTGGTTATAGAGTTGGGTACCACTTTTGGGTAGCCTGAGGAGACGAGCAATTAATTCATCCCAGATAGGGCACAGACCACAAGGACGATGACAGCTGCCGGGTTAATGACTTTATTGGGATGACTTCCAGATGCCTGAGTAGATCCAAGGCACCTGTACTACCTTGGAGTCTGCCCCGGTGTGGGTAAATGGTCCCAAGCTGCATTGCTGGGACTTCCTGCACAACTCATTGGCAGTTCGACCAAAGAATGTCCTCCCTAGCAATTGCTTGTCGTGTATGCCACCTTAGCGAGAGGAGCTTAGGATTCTTGGTTCTTGAACTTAACTGAGTCCTGAAAGGTTCTTTAAGTTTTAAAAATAATCTTTTAAAAGTTAAATGTATTTATTTGGTTGGCTGAATGCACGCCACAGCACCTGTTTGGAAGCCAGGGCACAACTTGCGGAGGTCTGGTCACTATGTGGGTGGTATAGGAGTTTCTTCTGTTCATGTGTTGCCTTCATTGGTTAATGAGTAAAGAAACTGCTTTGGGCCTGATAGGGCAGAACTTAGGTAGGCGGAGAAGACAGAACTGAATGCTGGGAAGAAGGGCAGAGTGGGAGACGTCATGGATCTTCTGCCTGAGACAGACGCTGGTTAGAATCTTGCTGGTAAGCCACAGTCACGTGGTGATACACAGATTAATAGAAATGTGTTAAATTAAGATGTAAGAATTAGCCAATAAGAAACTAGAGCTAGGAGGGGAGGAAGTGGAAATTTTTATAAACAAACAAATAAATTAATTAATTAATTTAAAAAAAAAGAAACTAGAGCTAATGGGCCAAGCAGTGTTTTAATGAATACGGTTTCTGTGTGGTTATTTTGGGTGTAAACTAGCCGGGCAGCCGGGACAAACAAGGAGCCACATCTCTCCTTGTAACATGTGGGAGCTGAGGATCAAACTCAGGTTTGGCAGCAAGTGCCTTTACCCTCTGAACTGTCACCACCCGCTCCTGTGAGAGCTTTATGAGAGGCCCTGCACCTTCTAGAAGGAACCATTTCAACTTGTGGGAAATGACCATTTCACAAGCGCATAAAGATATTTCTGTCAAAGATGGGTCATGACGGAAGGTCCTGTAAGATTATAAATGGCCTAAAAATGTGTGTCCAGATGCATCTTGGGTGTCATTCCTTAGGAGTCATCTGTTTTTTTGTTTGTTTGTTTTGTTTTTTTGGGTTTTTTTTTTTTTTGAGACTTCTCTCCCTGGCCTGGAACTCACCAAGTTGGTGGCTAGTGAGCCCCTTAGATCCACCTGTTTCTGCCTACCCAGTTCTGAAGTTCCTAACACATGCCATTGTGTGCAGCTTTTTATGTGGGTTTGGGGGAATCAAGCCTAGGTCTCTGCTTAGACAGCAAGGGCCTTACTGATGGAGCCCCTCCCCGGCCCAGGACTGAGAAGTTCTCCCTATGCCTTTTCCTTGCTTAGTCACATGGCTGGCTACTGTCTTAACTGTTGCTCTCGGGATCAGCACAGTGACGGGAGAGTGAACAGAGCAGCCGTCCGTTGTAGCATCTGGGGGTGTAGCAGATGGCATCCGGTTTTGCGTATAGTCCACACAAACATCTCTGGAGGCTGCATCTCAGGTTGTGACCCCGTTACTAAGCAATGTGTGGCTTGTCTAGTTGTCATGCATTGTGGGTTGGAAATTTTGTCCCCGAAAGCTCCATGAAACAGGCATCAAGCCTGTTCTGTACACCTTTAGACCCAGCACTCAGGAGGCAGAGACAGGCAGGACTGCAGAGTGAGTCCACCTTTTTTATTATTTTTATTAAATTTGTTTTTTCAAAAAACAATCTTTTCTCATTTTACACACCTATCTCCATTCCCACTCCCTCCCCTTCTCCCACTTCTCCCACTTTTCTCACTGTCCCAGTCCCCCATTTACTACTCAGAAAGAGTAAGGCTTCCCAAGGGGAGTCAACAAAGTCTAACACATCACTTTGAGGCAGGACCAAGGCCCTCCGCTCTATGTCTAGGCTGAGTAAGGTATCCCTCCAAAAAGAATAGGCTCTAAAATGCCAGTTCAAACAGTGGAGATAAATCTTGGTCCCATTGCCAGTGGCCCCACAGACTGCCCCAGCCATATAACTGTCACCCACATTCAGTGGGCCTAGTTTGGTCCTATCCCACCCACCTGCACCGCTACCAGTCCAGAGTCAGTGAGCTCTCACTAGCTCAGGTCGGCTGTTTCTGTGAGTGTCCCCATTATGATCATGATCCCTTTGCTCATTGCTCTTTCCTCTCTTGGACTGGTCTCTGGAAGCTCGGCCCAGTGTTTGGCTGTGGATCTCTGCATCCGCTTCCATCAGTTGTTGGATGAAGGTTCTATGATGACAATTAAGGTAGTCATCAATCTGATTACAGGGCAAGGCCATTTCAGGTACTCTCCACTCTTGCTTAGGGTCTTAGCTGAGGTCATTCTTATGGATTCCTGAGAATTTTCCTAGTGCCAGGTTTCTCGCTAGCTCCATAATGGCTCCCTCAATCAAGATACCTCATTCCTTGCTCTCCCTCTCTGTCCTTCCCCCATCTCAACCATCCCATTCCCTCGTGTTCTCCTTCCTCCCATTCTCCCCTCTCATTCCCCTTCCATACTCCCTCCCCAACATCCCCCCACACTCCCAGTTTTAGGAGATCGTGTCTAATTCCCCTTCCCAGGGGAATCCATCTATGTCTCTCTAGGGTTCTCCTTGTTACCGAGCAGAAGCAGGCAGGTCTGTGAGTTCAAGACCAGGCAAGACTGGACAGGAGTCCCTGTCTTAAAAAACAAAACAAAACAAAACACTGCTGTCCTTCATTTGGGGAAGAGAACAGCACACAAAATCTGAAGTTCAGGAGCCTGGGTCCAGATGCCAGCCTTGTGATGGACAAGCTACCAAGTCTTTGCAGCATTTCCCACGAAGACCTGAGGATAACAGTATCAGAGGATTCACTGAGGTGGCTTAGAGTAAAAGTGCCGGGTGCTCTATCTTAAGCCTTGTATAGGTTTCTTCTATGTCAGTTAGTTCTTCAGAAAGTGGCAGATGCTACATTTTGAAATCGTGATTTCTCAACAGCAAATCCTGGAGAC